GTTTTAAGGGCTTTGCGGAAAGCCTGAAGGGTGGTGAGGGTCCGGATCTCCACGGGGAGATCATTCCAGAGGGCCGGAGCAGCCACAGAGAAGGTCCTCCTCCGGGTGGTCCACAATCAGCATTGGCCGGCGGATGGAATTCAGAGGAGGCCTAATCTGTGGGATCTAATAGGTCTTTGCAAGGTAATTTGCAGCAGGCGGTCTCTCAGATTCTCCCATGCTTTTTCAAAAAAAAAGTTATTGGTAGATGGAGCCCAGACTGAGGAGAGGTGAATTGGATCTGTCACCCTGCCTCTTTTCTGTTAACTAGGATTGGGGTGGGTGGGGAACATACTTATCTTAACTATTTGAGTAGGCTTTTATTTCTCAAAATTATCTCAGGGAAGTTTAAGGTCAGGAATCTGTTATGTGTTTTAAATAGTCCCTAGAGCAATATGTTGACTGTTATCTTGATAATATTCAAAGGGGGATAGCCTCTCTTTTTGTTTCTTATCTTTGTGTGATAGCATTTTTTTGTTGCTGAGAATTTCACCTTGAAAAGGGTGAATTAGTTTCCCCCCAAGCTGGACAGTGAAATTGGTTAGCCAAAAGCATCTTTAAATGCTGGACACAATCCAATCAAAATTGAAACCTCATTTGAGGTTAAGAGGAAAGGTTTCTAAGGGAATGTGAATCAGCCTGACTCAGAAGTGCCTCACTGACAATAATGCATGGACAATATTGCCCATTTACATTCTGCAAATGTAACATCTTGTTCTATGTTTGCTTCCAAACAGGAGCCGTCAATCTTTAAAAGTCAGAGAGCACAGTGTTTATGGACCTTATGTAGATGGTCTTTCAAAACTAGCTGTTGCCAGTTACAAGGTAAAGAAGTCCATGATAATAGGCTTAGGTAATAATGTTCAGTGGAGTGGTTACCATCACCCAATTATTTATATACCTCTTTTCTACAAGAACATGTATCCAAAACAGCTTACAATATATTAGAAAATAATAGTGACTCAGTTAAGATGTAGCAACTCTAGCAGTCAGTGGTGGCCTGGCAGTGGTATGTGGTATGGCAGCCTGGGTCGCTGGAACCGGCAGCGGCCCAGGTCTGCCACACCCCCTAACATGTCTCCATCACCACAAGGAATGACATTTTTAAGCAACTCCTGTTCATTTCAACAAGACTTGAATTTCTCAAGTCAATTCTTGGCAAGCCTGCTCAGTCGGACTTTTCTCATTTCTACCATTCTTAACAGCAACCAATAATTATGGCAAGCTAATGTTTTCCCCTTGTCGCTGCCGCCACCATCTTGCTTTTTAGTTCTGCGCATGTGCAGAACAATTTTAATTGAACTGTGCATGTGTGCACAGCGCGCATCCAGCACACGTGCGCAAGCGAACCGGCAGTGAAGCCGGGCAGGACCCACCCCTGCTAGTAGTATAGCCTTTATTGTTATTGTACATCATGTATGCAACGAAATTGGTGAAATTCTAATCTGTATACCTGGGATTGCTCAGCAAGCAAAATCACTAGTGATTTTTGCATAGGGTCTCTGGAAGAGATGTGCAGGAATGAAGTTAGTGGGAGGGAACAGAAAACCTCATGCTTTTCCCATCTTCTCCATGGTTTGTTCAGGATTGATGAGAGGAAGTATCACGGCTTCAGTACACTTAAATAGATCTTGGACAGATTGATCTGTGTGGCCTAGTGTGCTTGGTTAGCAATGTCTTTCCAAGATTAAAGATAGAAGTAACCTGCACTTTTTTTTTTACAGAAGATATTTCTCCAGTGTTGTATTTTAAGATTAAGTTTCAGATTCCCTAAAGGAAAAGCTTTAACGATTGAGGTCCAGCATCACCAGAAGCAAAGATAAAGTGTTATTTGAAATATCATTATCTTGTTTTTAATATCTTTGCTGTACCTGCACAACCAATATGTTTCCACCCGCAGTGTCCTTGCACTTATGAACTGCCCTTTAGGAAGCTCTCATCCTTGGAATGTTTATCACTCTGAAGCTAATGAGGCATACTAACATTATTGGTTTGCCCCCATCTTCTGCCATATAAACCCTGTAGGCGTTAAGGCCCTGTAATGCTGCAGAAATCTGCTGAATTACAACTCCTGTTGTGTGCAACCAGCATTGCTACGTTAGTTGATAGTGGAGGATATTTTAGTCTGTTGCATTCTAGTGGAAATCAGAGTGAGGAAGGCATCTATAGAACTAGAATCTTGGAGGATCAGCTCTGATTTCATAACCCAGCTCCTAGTTGACTTGGCTGGCTCAGAAAGTTAAGAAAGGGCGGAGTTGGTTAACATTTGAATGGAAGACCATTTGAATAAGAAATGGCAGCTGAAAAAACACCTGGGAAGGAGGCAGTTGTAAAACCACTTCCATATTATTGGCAAATAAACTACGGAGGTGGTGCAATGGCTCAGTGGTTAAAGACTCGTTAAGATTCGAGACCCAGGTGGGTTAAAGACCCTTTAAGGTTCGAGATTCAAGTGGGTTAAAGACCCTTTAAGGTTCGAGACCCAAGTGCTGGGTGACAGAGTGAGCTCCCATGACTTGTCCAAGCTCCTGCTCATCTAGCTGTATGAAAGCATTCAAATGTAACTAAATAAATAGGTATCACTTCGGTGAGAAGGTAACAGCATTCTGTGCACCTCGATGTATAGTCATGCAGGCCACATGACCATGAAAATGTCTTTGAACATTGACATTGAACAACACTGGCTCCCTCGGGACGGAAATGAGCACCATCCCCTAGAGCTGGAAATGACTGGACAGGGGAAACCTTTACCTTTAAATTACCTGGATGTTTTCATGAAGTCAGGAGATTTTATCTTTGCCTTTAAAGAAAGAAGAGAAAGATCTTGCAAAACTGGTTTAGCAAGTAATTATGGTAGGCTTGTTTGCAGAACTTTAGCTGTAGCCTTAAGGATCCAAGAATGTTTGCACTTCAACAATCTAACTTGGGACTCACCAAAAAACCAAGTCAAAAACACAAGGAAATATGTATTACACAGAGTATGAATCATGACTCCTGTTCAGCACTTGTGCTCTGTTGCAGACCAAAAGCCCTTCCCCCAACTTCAGTGTACGTTTAAGGCAAATTTGTACATAGTATTTTGATTAAATTGTTCTCTTTGCAACTTAGAATTTGAATACTGGTTTGTTTTGCTACCGCACATAAAATGTAAGTTTTATTGGTTTTATGGTTTTGCAGCAAACTTGCTGGGTATTCTAGCATAATGCAGCCATCTCATAAAATCATCCAGTTGAAAATGACCTCTAAGGTCATTTAATGGCTGCCTTTGGTACAGTATGCTCCAGAGACCTCTGCTTAAAAGCCTCCAATACAGGAGAGTCCACCACTTTCTAAAGCCATCCGTCTTGGTTTCTCTCAATTCACCCTGCAACAGAGTAATAATAATAATGCTAATCTACTATATAAAGCTGTTGTAAGATTTAATCTCTATCTCTTAAGCATGCATCTATGCACATGCATACATCGTTTCTTACCTTCGTTACACTTCCCCAGTTTCAGTAGGATAATTTCTCTTATTCAAATAAGGACATTAAATGTACTGAATGTAATCGTTCAGATGCAATACTTACATTTTACCTGAAAATTTTAATATGTCTTAATGAAAATACTAAGCAAAATTGTAACTGGGAATCATCGGGCCTAACTTCTAGAGATGTCTAAAATGGTTTTGGAATATATTGAAATGCTCAATGAGAGGAGAAGATGTCTTTGACTAAATGTCTATGGAGATTCTCAGTCATCCAGGTGCTTTTTCAAGAGGCAATTTGACTTCCTTTGTTTTGCCTTGAAGATGTGTTGCTTCTCATCCAATAAGCTTCTTCAGTTCTGATTGAATCGTGGGGAATTGAAGGATTTGTATTCCCTTGCTGCCATCTGTGAATAGGCATAGATGAACCTCTAAGTGGCCTCAACAATGCTCAGAAAGAGTGCTAATGACCAGATGACTGCAAGGAATATAAATCTTTCTATTCCCTTTCAGTCAGAACTGAGAAAGCTTCTTGGCTGAGAAGTGAAATGTCTTCAAGGAAAAACAAAGTTATTTGCTGTCAAGTAATACTTTAATTAGCCAGACATTTTGACAAAACAGAAGCAGTGTGTTATTTCTCTGATCTGGGCAGATAGCTTTTATGGTAAACCAGGGAAAATGCATTACAAAACCATGATTTATGTGGAACAATAAGATCTTGTTACATTCACTGAACATAGAATTCTCTAACTTCTTGACAAAACCGAGACTTCAGTGACTGGGACAAGACATCACATTAAGCTGTGGTTTGTTTTAATTATGATTTCTTGAATGAGCCACATGGCTTAGTTCAAATCTCAAGTTATGCATGAACTTCACTAAAACACAATATGTTTTGTGATTCTTTTATTTAGGATATAGAGTCTTTGATGTCTGAAGGCAATAAATCTCGTACAGTTGCTGCAACCAACATGAATGAAGAGAGCAGTCGATCCCATGCTGTTTTTAAAATTATCCTCACACACATATTGTATGATGTAAAGTCAGGGGTGAGTTCTGCAATTTGCAGGGAAGATAAATAACAGAGATCTATAAAAACAGTGGGGGGAAAGGAGTTTCATTGATGCCATATAAAAATAAATATTTTTGCCAGAATTTTACTCCTGTTTTACATGCTTCTAGAATAGATGTTGTTACTCTAGGTGAGATTGGGGAACCTGCGGTTTCCAGGTGTTCTTCACCTCATACTCTTATTAGCTCTAGCATTTCGGTCTAAGGTCAGAGATGATGGGATTCCTGAAGATCACCGATCCCCACAGTGGTGAAATTCATTTTTTTTTACCACTGGTTCCATGGGTGTGGCTTGATGGGCATGGCAGAGGAAGAATACTGCAAAATCCCCATTCCCACCCCACTCTGGGGCCAGCCAGAGGTGGTATTTGCCGGCTCTCTGAACTACTCAAAAGTTCCACTACTGGTTCTCCAGAACCTGCTGAATTTCACCCCTGGATCCCCAGCCTCCTCATAAGAGGTAGCATAGCCTTTCTAATAACAACAGTGCTGTTTACTTAAAACCATGACTTTTAAAAATAGTGTGGGGTATGTTTTTAAGTTGCAATCTCAGATTTTATAACGTTAAGGAGAGTTGCTGTTCTCTATGGTCTGTTCGGGATCTGAACCAGAAGAACATTATTTATATGTGAAAAGTGATTTTTCTGGAGGTTTCAGTGTTATCCAAACACTCCCTAACAACCTTTGGTTTTGGGGTGCTTACAGATCATAGATAATACAGGGCGGGGCATAACCTTTTCCTAGGGGGTCACAGCAAGATCGACAGCAGTTTACAACTTCCGCGACACCTCATTTTAAAGCCCATAAAAAACTGAATTGAATGAGCTATTAAATAGTCAGTATGACCACCATTAGCCCTTCGAAC